CCATGGGGCACCAGGGAGTAGAAGTGGTGGGAACAGAAGGCACAGGTATGCAGGTCCAGTGTCATGGTCCCCAGGGATGACCTGAGGCAGACTAGATGCCAGATTGGACTGAGAATCAGTTGCCCAGGAGAACCAGTCCACGTTTCAGCACTGTGGCCAGCTCTCCATGGGGGCCAACCCTCCACCTCAGGGTGTCCCCTGAAATCACAAAAGGCTGCGTGAAAGACCTCTAAGACGCTCTTCATGGTGAGGAAAATGACTTTCAGGCTCAGTTCTAGATTCATTCATGGAATGATAGAGTCCCAGGGGGTCTGGGGCCTGCACCTGAGCTGGGTAGGGTCTCATGGGCTTTGAACTCATATATTCCCAACTGACTGTCTCCTTTGACGGGGGGGGGGGGGGGGGGGGGGGGGGTTGGTGGCTTCTTCGGAGGCTGCTGGGCCAGGTCAGTGTGGAACCATGGAAACCACCTCGAGGCAACAGAACAAAGGGTTGCCAGGTGGTGGTGTGTGGGGTGGGTATACACAATACAGGTGTTATGTTGGGGCCCACATGGGACAGAGATTCATGGCAACATCTTGGATCCCAAAATAATTGGTTTTCAGAGGGACCTGCTGCATATCAAGACAGCTTACACTCGCGACCACTGGATACCTTCCTGTTGTCTCCTCCAGTGTTCTCCCTGTTCGGGCCCCTCCTGGCTGTGGTGCCTCCTCTCTGGTTCTCTGAGACCCCACTATAGCTCCTGCTTAGCTGGTACCTTCTGAAATATTTGTGTGCCCCAAATCATTCAGGGTCCCAGGAAGGCAGAGCTGTTGCCAGGTGGAGGTGTCGGGGTGGGTATTCACAATACAGGTGTTATGTTGGGACCCACAGGGGACGATGCAAGCCCCTGAGATTCATGGCAGCATCTTGGGTCCTAAAATAATACACGAGGAGTGAGTTGTCAGCACCAGGGCAGGGAGGCAGTTTTGCTAGCTGTGGGACCTTATTTTCCTGCTCTCTGATCTGCTGGGTTCTCCACAAGCCAACCCAGTCAAACCCATCCTGTCCACATTGCCAGCCTTGCCAGGAACAGGCTATGGGGGGAAGGCCTGTACCCTGGGACTCGCAGCAGAAAGGACTCACAGGACACCGTATAGTGGCGTGAAGAAGACAGGCCTGACTCTCTGGGTTCGGAGGACACACAGGGCATGATCTTTTTTATTTAATTTTTATTGTTTTTATTGAGCTATATATTTTTTCTCTGCTCCCCTCCCTTCCTCACCCTTCCCCTTCTACACTCTCTCACGGTCCCTATGCTCCCAATTTACTCAGGAGATCTTGTCTTTTTCTACTCCCCATGTAGATTAGATCCATGTGTGTCTCTCTTAGGTTCTTCTTTGTTGTCTAGGTTCTCTGGGATTGTGAATTGTAGGCTGATTTTTCTCTGTTTTATGTCTAAAGGCCACTTATGAGCGAGTACATATGATATTTCTCCTCTTGAGTCTGAGTTACCTCACTCAGTATGATGTTTTCCATCCATTTGCAGGACATGACCTTGCCCCCTCCAAGCTACCTCTCAGGTTTCATGTTTTGTGCAATTCCTCACCCAGACGTTGCCCACTGGGTGTGTTAAGGAAGAACTGAGGATGTGGGAGTGTGGGAAGCCATGTAGATAGTATCCCAGGAGATGCAGGGCTTCCATCAGGTCCACATGGGGTTATCCACACCATCCCCAGGCTGCTGCTGCAGTGAGAGATGGCTTGGCATGTCTGGCCTCTTGGTGTCTTTCAGCTCCTGGGTTTCGTCTATGGCTGCTACGTGGTCAGCGTGCTCACAGAAGAAGAAGACAGCTGTAAGTGTGTAGTTAACATGAGTGGCAACTCTGAGTGCTGTGCTGTCTGGGGTAGAACCTGAAGGTGGCTCTCAGTTATGCCCCATGCCCTTCCTGCCACCGCCCAAAGATCTGAGAAGAGGGGGAGTCTATGAAGAGGGGCCCTTGGGCCCAAGGACACTTATCCTCGTGACCCCACAGTCACACAGTGGCCCCAGGAGGGTCTGAGTCCTCAATAGCATGGGCCACTCTGCCTGCCTGGTACACACGTTGGGTGACATTTAGTACTAGGCAGGACCCATTTGGGTGGATTATCCTTTTCTCTCTGCATGTAAACACCTTTCAACTTAACTTTGATTTGCAATGTGACACAGTAATGCTTCAAGCTATCCCTTTGGGGACTCCCAGTCCTGAAATAGTCTGATGGGGTGAACCTGCAGAGAAAGGATTGACAGGGTGGGTGGGCAGTCGGGGCTCCTGTGGATAGAAGCTTCTCCAGAGTCAGAATTAAAACCCAAAGCCAGCTGCCCCTGAGAGTCGGGCCGTGGAGTCAGCTGTCCCCATGTTCAAGAGACTTGGGCTTGATTCTGGAGGCTGGTGAGGGATGGTCCCTGAGCCTGGAATCAAGCCCCCCCCCCCCATCATTGAGCCCTCAGCTAGCTGCCAGGGATGAAGCAGGAGCTCCACCTGCTCTTTGAATTCAGAACTGCAGCCAGCCCTGAGCTTCAGAAATGTGTTCATTTTACCCAACAAGCCTAGCGACCACTAGTGTGGGGGTGGCTTCATGGGGCAGATGCTTGATGTTAATAAAGGCCACGAGGATGATTGGAGAGCCTAGCAAGGTGGGTGCAGCCCCATCCAGGCTTGAGGGCACTTGTTGGCCTCCTCACCTGATTCCTTCTGGGAAGGTTCATTCAGACCACAGAGCCTGGCAGGAAACTGTGCACAGTACCCCAAAGAGATCCCAGCAAGGTTTGCGATACAGCAGGGGACTGATTTGCAGATGTGCCTCTCCCCCTTCACAAGTCCTGGCAATGCCCCCTTTGCTGGAAATCTGCCACTGGGAATGTTTCCATTCTGCCATCTTTTTCCATCATTTGGGTTTTATTTTATTTGGGCTTGATTTCTTTCAGTTGATTTCATTGGTGGATTTGACCCATTCCCCCTGTACCATGTCAATGAAAAGCCGTCCAGCCTCTTGTCCAAGCAGGCATATTTGTAAGTATGGTCCACTCAGCCTGCATCAGGGTGCTCACAATTCAAGGCTGTTCTCTTTGGAGACTTTATCAGGCATCTGTATGTCAGTCCATTGCCCTAAGACCATGCTCTGGTTAGGTGTCAGGGTGCAGTGACTGTAGAACTCAGCCCACATGTCGAGCTCAAGGCTCAGCTGGGGTAGATTCTGTGTTAATCAGAACCCTAGTCAGCACTGAAGACTGGACTCTCAGGAATGGGAGGGATGCCAACAGGCCACTCCCCCAGGGGCATCAGTGCTTCAGTAAGTGTAGAGGGTGTCTGTTTCTTATATTTGGCAGATCACATTTCCTTCTCTAAAGCAGTACCACGGCCCTACAGATGCCATGGCCATGCCTGGGCTTCCTGGAAGTCTTGGAATTGAGGTCAGAAGGGACATTGAGGGGTTCTCTTGGTGAAACTGTCTTTGGTCCCAGAGATTCCTAGTGCCTGACCTCAGGGTGTCCTAGACTGTTGTGGATAATGGGTATCACAGGTAGCAGGACTTCAACTCCTAGGGTGAATGAAGGAGACACAGACCTAGGAAGGGGAGGAGCCTCTTCAGGCTGCCTGCTACAGCTCCTAAGACAAGCCTGGGCTCAATAGATCTCCATGAATAGGGCAGTGCGTGGGAGGTTTCTCTTCAGTGGAGAGTCTGAGTGGACGAAAGGACCAGGGTGAAATCCTCACTCCACTTCCAGTCCCATAGGAATGGGCCAGGGTCACCAGAGGATAAGATCAGTACCTGCCCTAAGAGTTGAGAAGCCTAGTCCTGGGCATATTTTTGCTAGAGCCTGAGCTACTGGTTTTGTGTGTTTTACATCTGAAGTCCCCAAGAGGAGGCACACTGTCCTCCTTCTCTCAGTCCCCTCTGACCTCTGCCTTCTCCGCAGGCCTGCATAAGTGAGAGAACAGCTGACCCTGCTCCCGCAACCCAGTTTCAGCCGCCAGAACAATGAGGAGACTCCAGGCCTGGAGTCACAGCCCTGCTTCCCTGCCTGCCTAGCATTCTTTCCAAATTCCCCTTGGATACCAGTGAGGGGCGGGGCACACTGCAGGCCAGGGTGGCTGCAACTGTGAGTTTGTAATTTCTCTTTCTTTCTCTCTTCCTTTCTTTTTTCTTTCTTTCTTCCTTTCTTTTTTTCTAAAAAATAAAATAGTGAGACAAGACATGAGAGAATACAAAAACAAACTGAACCCCTGGTCTTCTTGGGCAGCTGGCAGTGAACTTAGGCAGTTTTCCCAGGCATCCCCAGAGTGCTCTGACCTGAGGTTACAGGACTTGCAAACCACACACCACATAGGGAAAGGCTCATTAGAGGACAATGAGAGGTTCAGTCCCATCAGGAAGTCCCTATGAGCCACCAAGATCCAAGAATGACAAAGGCCTTGAATAAATACTGCAGTACCCTAGCTACAGGTCTTATTCACGCAAAGGCCCTTGCCCCACTGAGGCCAGTGCATTCCCTGGAGCTGGACCAGGAGCCCTGCCACTCCCAAGCTAGGAGAGAACTGTGGGTGAAACATGGAGCCTGGGAATGCCACATAGACTCTTCTTTCTAGAAAGTGGATGGCTCTGTTTAGAAAAAAGGACCTTGGGCAAGCATCTTGAGAACACCTGCCATTTTAGGAAATATACAAAGTTTGTGGGTAATTAGAAGTGGGGTCTCAAGAGACACCTGAAGCCGGTCTATTCTGAAAGGGTAGAATACAGTACTAGATCACTGAGATCAGAAAGAGTGTTTCTTCTTCCCCAAGCGGGGAAGTGTTTGTGAAGCGATTAGAGGTGTCTGGACACTGGACAGGCGCTGCTGTGCTGGCGAGAAGCAGCATAGACCGGCTCAGCATGGACTAGAAGATGAGGTGGGGGTATCTGGTATAGAGCCTAGCTGAGCACTGAAGTCAGACCTTCTACTTTATTATCTTCAAATAGGTTTCCAAAGCTACAACAGGAGCACTCCTCACACCAACCAGGAACTCTTCTTCCATGCTGTGCTATGTTTGTGGTCGATACCAAGTGTCCCCAGCAGACCCACTGTGTGGTCTGGGACAGGCTGGGGCAGGCAGGGTGCCCATCTTGTAGTATCTGGAGGGAGGAAAGGAGGTCCTTGGCTCCAGGGGCTTCCTTGGCCTACCACTTTACTCTACTAGAGAATTATCAGACACATCTTGGGGACACATTGACCTCTGAGAGCATAAGAAGGCCATGGCTCCCATCTCTCAGCAAGGACGGGGTGTGATACATTTATGTAACAATTGAGGTTCATGTGCCCCATCCTGGGCATGACCACCAAGCCCCAATCTAGCCCATGTACCTCTGAAGTCGGCCTCTCCAAGCCTAGTTGAGGCTCTTGATGACCAGCTAGACAAGGGGTGTCCCCCAGCCCTCTTTCCCTCTGACCCCACCTATGAAGGATTCCAAACAGTGGGACTGACTGGCGGAAGGAGTGAGAAGTGTGACCTGGCCATCTGTAGAATGCCACTGCCCGTCTTAGGAAGCAAGACGCTGAGGTTACACCCAGGCTGAGGAAGGATGCTGGGAAGACCCTGCACCTTACCTGGTTTAGGACAGGAAGGTGCGTACACAGCTGCAGATAGGCACTCTGCAGATCGGGCACACCTGCAGGTTGGGGGCACACTCAGGACAGACTAAGTGGCCACAGGGCACGAAGATTACAGAGACAGCTCGATCCAGGCACACCTTGCATGCTCTCTCCTCCTGCAGCTGTCGCAACTGTTCCTGCACAGACCCAGCTCCTGGGGACTCAAGAAGTCACCAGCACCCTCAGGGCCCAAGAGACGGACTCCTCAAGGGGAATGCACTTGTTACACAGACCCACCCTCTTATCCCCCGTGTTCCCCTTCAGTTCCTCCAAGAAAGAAGGTGACCCATCCACCTCAGGTGGATCCCTACTATACCTGGCTCACTGACATCTTCAGGCTGTGTCTCTCCTCTGGATGTGAACAATTCAGGGCCTCCATGGGCAGGAGCTGTACACAGTTAGTAGAATTGGGTTTAATCAAGGCCTAGCTTCTCTGGGGAAGGGAGACCTCACCCAAAGAGGGTCTAGCAGCCACTAAGTTCCAGTACTGTCCTAGAGAACAGAAAGGTTTTATGGCACTCCGCTGCCATTCATGAGCTTCCTGGAGGCCACCAAGGAGCCTGCCTTCCACCAGGGTACTCTGCCTGCCAAGCCCCTTAGACTAGGGAGTCATAGATTGCATGTATTTGGCACTTTGGAGGGGACAGGAAACAAAGAGTGATGGATTCCCAGAGGAGTAAGACAAGGAAAGGCAAGTAGTGCCTAGAAGAGGTGGCTCTACCTCTGGCCCTGGCCGACTGGCCCTCATCCACCTGGAGCAAGTTAGCCATCAGTTGTGAAGGGGCTGTGCTGGGCACAGCTGGGCTCTGGCTCCATTCCTGGATGCTCCTAGTATCTTTAAGGCAGAGAAAGAGACAGCAAGAGATCCCAAGATCTATGGGGTGCAGAGAAAGGCTGGTGGTCTGTGGCATGTTCTGTCTGTACACACATCTGCATATTCCCAGAAGGCATTGGGGAAGGTCTGTCTCTTACAAGGATACTGCATTTTCAGAGCCTCTCTCTAGAGGTGCTACCATCACTGGGGAGGACGGCAGACAAAGCCCCACCTAGCACCAGAGTGTCCCACAGACGCATGTGCTTCTGAAATGGGTTTGTGTTGCCATGTCATTCTCACAGAAGTGAGGGTGGAGAGCCACTTGCCTGTGTCCACAGAGGTAGCAAACACATCAGGTGCTCTCTGAAGTCAGAAGTCCCCTCGGGGGTCTCTGAATTACCTCAGACCCCTGTCCCATAGGGCCCAGGGAAGAGATTTGGAAAGCTGTGTCCTCCAGGGCTCTGCTCAACAGGCTTCTCCCTACAGTTCAGTTGGCTTTCAGAAGCTGTGCCCAGCAGAACCAGCCCAGCTACATCCTCAGGTTTGGCTGGTGCCTTTAGCAACCTACTCGGTGGGACCGAGGGAATGCAGTGACCTGACCTATGCCTTGGACACACAGCACGTGTGCACAGTCCCTTCCTGCTGACTGGCAGGTGGGTGCACTCAACAGTCTTACCCATGTACAGGCTGCAAATACCAATGAAACAGCAAGGGCTCTCTATCAGGGTATCTCACCTGAGGGGGTGGCAGAGACCGTATCTTCTGGCTCTTCCCATTGGTCCTGTGGGAAAGCCGTCAATGCCGTAAGTAAACAAAGCAAGGGACTGCCAACCCCCAGTCCTGAGGACAGATGGACTTACCCAGGAGCCAAGCAAGGGGGTGCAGGCCTGGATTCTTCCCACAAGGTGCCTTCCTTTTGACTGCAGCAGGAACCGACACCTGGGGAAGAGATCTCAGAAGGCAGGACTGGACTCCGAGAGCCCCACTGCCACACTCAAGCCCCATGAGCCATGCTTTCTGTTCCCATGGAACCCATTACGCCCTATGGCAGGCAGGCAGGCAGGGCTGTGTCTCTGGGGGCGGGGGACTTGCTGGGACTCAGGAGATGGACTCTGAGCACCTAGAAGAGGATAGCAGCAGTATAATGCCCACCATAGCGGCCCTTCCAGAGAGAGCTCCATGAAGAGCAGGGTTGTCTGCTACCCTGATATCCCAGGACTGTGGAAGATGGGAAGACTGGGCAGAGTTCTTTAGGACCCTTTCCATTAATCAGACCTGCATCAATCCCCTTGGCCTTTACCTGGGGAACCATCGGGCATGCTCTGTCCAGGGGTCATCTCCCTGCTCCCAGCTCTGCAGACCGCCATAGCAGAAGAAACATCTCACCTTGTCCTGCTGGCCTGGGTATGGCAGAGACACATGGTTGTAACCCCACCGAGCTGGCACCCCCAGGGTGTTCCTCCATGACCTTCAGAGCTCAGACAGTCAGGACTGGGGTCTGCCAGCAGGTTAACAAGAAGGGGGCAAGGTACCATGGGCATCTCTCTATCTCAAAGGCAAATAAAAGCAATGCCTGGGGTATGTGTCAGGGGGGCCCGAGAATATTCTGGAAAGGCTGAGCTAGCATTTATGTTGTTCTGAAAGCATGTGGGTAGGGTAAGGCCAAAGGCTTGGAGCTTCTGTAGCCTGGAGATTCAAGGCATCCAAGAAGGATTCCTGGAGACAGGATAAAGAGGTGACTCCTCCCATACCAGTCTATAGCCAGGCTTGGTTTGATGGCTCAGGCCTTCCTCATCTCTGCTCTCTGCCCTTCCCCCAACCATGGGAACAGGACTGCTTACAGGCATATCTCACAGCAGACAGCCACAGTCCACAAAATCCTCCTAACACCTGCCGGCCTCAGGGACACTTCTTTTCAAGGATGCTCTAGCTGTCCCAGCCATTAACTGTCATAACCAGTGTCCAGTCACCCTGTATCAATGTGGACTCTTGTTTGACCAGTGTAAGGAAAATTACTGATTCCTCCCCTGCTGGCCCTACTGGTGACAGTTTCTCTGGCTATGTTCATACTTACAAAGCCCCTCAGTGGGTCTCGCTGCCTCTTTTTCCTCAGCCAGGCAGAGAAGGAGCCAGAACCTGACCCCTACCTTGAGTGAGGAGCAGTCCAAGCTAAAGGAGTGGGCTGTTTGTAACTAGAACAGGTACTCAAAGGATTTGTCTGGAGTTGGTCCCTGTCTTAGCCTGGTACATGGCAAGCCTGGAGGATTACCTACAAGATGGGCACAAATCAGGATGCTTAAGCTATTCTGATTTTGTCTTATTGAGTCCTGGAATGAAAGGAACTAATCACCTCTGTAACCAAGTCTGCAAGGCTCCCACACGGCAGTGGGGATCCCTGAGTAGTGTGGGGCACCCACAGAACCATCGAATCCAGGTGAAACCCCCACCTGCTGAGGGGCCCTCAGGACAAGGCCAGCACAAGCCCAGGATCTCATAGTGACTTTAGCTGGGGTGGACCCCACGCTCTGGCCAAGCAGTGACGACAGGATTACCTTTCATTAGCTCCCTCCTCAGGGCAGGGATGGACAGAACTCTTCGACCTGGAAGAGTACTAAATAGCATCCAGACCACAGCAGAAAGACATCAAGACTTACCTGTGTGGAAGAAGCCAGCAGCAGCCAATGGCTCGGGCTGAATTCCAGCAGTGGATGGCCAGTTGTAGAAGGAAGCCAGCCGGAGATCCTCTGAATCCATCTCAGGGAAAGCAGGCTCCCCGAGGAAGGTAGCCCCAGAGGGTTCTTGCTCTTCTGACAGGGGGCGCAACTGGCCCAAGATCTGCCCATCTATGCAGTCCTGGCCCAGGGCATGGCTACCCGCACTGCAAGGTCTGCTCTGCTCCTGGGTGGAGCCATTGCTGACTTCCCTGTGACTCAGCTCTGGGCCACAGGACAAGTCCCTGGCCCTACCCTCAGTAGCTCGGAGCCAGTCTGCAGGAGAGAACATCACTGACCCCGGAGTGTGCCTGGTGACTTATCTCCAGCTCCTGACTCTAGCCCTTTCTAGAAGCTCTGGTGACTCCTGCTTCTAACTGGAGGCCGATGCCACTAGACGCTCAGATGCTGTAGTGTCCAGGGATGCGCCGCTCTCTGGAAGAGGCCAGAGTGGCAGCCACGTGCTCTCTGCAGCGAGAGTGTCACGGGGCCTCCTGGCAGGCGCATAACAAAGGCAGTACTCCACAGGACAGAAAGCTTCTCTAAATAGGGGGAGGGGCAGAGCTTGGGGACCTCTCCAACAATATCCCCCAAACCTCTGGAAACAAGTCCTAGACTTTGACAAAATCATAGAGGAGGGGGACTCCAGCCATTCAGAGTCCAGTTCTGGGTAGAGGTAGAGCCAGAGGATGGCTAGAAAGCTAGGTTGTCCAGGAGTGTATGCAGCCCCAACCACATTCTTCCATACCAAGCCTGTCCTGATGTTAGAGGATGACATCACCTGCTTATCCTGTTCCCGAGTACTTAGGAGGTCCCTGCTGGGCTCAGTCCACCTATCCTGTCTGGCCTCAGGTTGACCTCTTTCTGTCTGGACAGTCTAGAGTCAGATCATGGGTGGGGCGTGCCCTGGGAGGAGCTCGAGGTTTGGATTGTTTGCTCCAGGCCAGACATCTGCACCGGGACAGGGGTTACTGTCTCCCTAAATGAGCTCTGCCTCAGAACTGGTCCCAGGGACCTGGTCTCCTCTAAACTGCCCCAAGTGAGGGACTCCATTGCCACAGACCTAACAGAACAGAGAGGAGGGTCATGACTCTAGAGAGGCCATAGCTACAGGTTAGTAAAACGAAAGTCCTCAGGATTACTGGAAGGGGAGCGAAGAAGATCAAGAGGCCAGCTCTGCCCCAGCTGACACTGCATTCAGATAATTGCACAAACTCTTCACCTGCAAGTAGCTCTTCACTGCCGGTGAAGCTTCTAGCATGATGAACATTTATATTTATATCCCAGCATTCAGGAGCTGGAGGTATACAGAGCTCCAAGTTTGAAGCTAGCCTCATCTACAGAGTGAGTTCCAGGACAGCCAGGGATACACAGAGAAATCCTGTTGCTACACAGAGAAGCCGTGTTTTTAAAAAGGGGGGAAGGAGAAAAAGAAAGAGAGAGAGAGAAAGAGAGAGAAAGAAAAGAAGGAGAAGGAAGGGAGGGTGAGAGGGAAGGAAGGAGGGAGGAAGGAAGGAAGGGAAAGAGAGGAAGGAAAGAAGGAAGGAAGAATAACTTCAGTTTGAAGTCCATTTTGGTCATACTCACCCCTACTACTTTCCCCCATCTCCTCTCAGATCCATCTTCATCTCTCCACTCCCAACTTCAACTCCTCTTTTTATTTTTTTAAATGTCCATTGTGCTGTCCATATATCTGTGGGTGTGGCAACATCCACTGGAACATGGTCAACCTACCAGGGGTCACCTTAAAGAGAACTGTCTCCCCCTCTCCCAGCAGCTGTCAACTACCAATAGTCCCTCAATCAGGGGTAGATACTGAGAGAGGTGGTGAGGGGGTGAGGCTTGTGAGACACTGTGAGGTGGGTATGGTGGCTCATACATGCAGTCCTAGCACTCATGGGGCTAAGGCAGGAAGACTGTTGTGATTTAAGGCCAACCTGGACTACACAGCAAGTTCTATTTCAGCCTGAGCTAAAGCAAGACCCTGTTTCAAAATATATATAAAAATTACAATTATTGCAAGGAATAGAGAGAGCAGAACAGATTGGGCAGGAGGCCTGCCTTCTCAGGGGTAGGGGGACACCAGCCTGGATTCTGCTTCATAGGGCCTGGCCTGCCAGCAGGATCCCAAGGAGGCACCTGACTTAAAGATCTGGGTGCCAACCCTGTCTATGATCTCACCCTGCTCATTTGCTACAGCAGAGCTCCAGTGGCATGCAGAGCCCACAGGCAGCTTTTCCAATGTTACATGACTTTAGAATGCCCCGGGAAAAACAAGCTTCACAGAACCCCCATGGCCCTTTGAGAAAGAAACCGGGCTTTCATCGTTTCAGAGATGTGAATACTGAAGCAAGTTCCCTGGGAGGTGTGGGAGATCAGTCAAGGAAATGGTAGCCTAGCCTACTCCCTTCGATACCAGATCAAGATCTGCAGGGCTGGAGTCCCCGGGGAATCTGCCATCACCAGCTCAGCAGATGTACCCACATACAACACTGCAGGATTCAGGACCCTGTCTCATTCCCTGCTAGGCCCATGTACTGCCGATACTTCCATCTGTGGCCATAGAACCTTCTAGGGCACCCCCAGGCACTCACAGCCTCTGCCCTTCTCTCTACTTGCAAGCAAAAGGGCAGAATCACAGCTCTGGCATTTGAACCCGGAGCCCTGCCTTCCCAGGGCTTGCTGTACTGGGTTCCCAGGGATTGAGGTCAAAGGGGCTGATAAAGGAGAATGGACGGTGTCATCAAACTCTTTCTCTGTGCAGGTCCAGGCCTGGGTCCCTGGGGCTCTGATCGTTGGACTCTGAATCTGCTGGCTGGGCCTGGGGACCTGTGACAAAGGACAGTCTCTCCCAGTCAGGATCGCAAGCATGCAACTGAGCCAGCCCCTCTTTCCTGTTTGAGAGTCCTCCTGGCAGACAGGAACATCCTTTAGCTGGGACCACAGAATGGGGGTCTTGGCGCTCTCAGCAGCGCATGAGGCCCATGAAAGAGGCAAGCAGTAGCATGATGTGTGTGGAAGGAGCTGGAAACAAACCCCTGGGTGTCTGAGTCAGATGCATTCATGCTGGGAACTCATAAGAACAGCACTAGTCTCTACAAAAGCCTTACCTGGTGCCTAAGTCCCCACCATGAGCTCACACTGCAAGCTGAGTCCCTTGTCAATGCAGGCAGCACCTAGGTGATGACAGACTGTAGTTGGCAAGGCCCTGTAGCTCACGGCATAGCCATGATGTGTCTCTGGGTCAGCTAAGACCCAGTGTGAGAGTGTAGGGACAGTTGGTGCCATCCTCTGTGTGGTCGAAGCCTTAAAGGGAGGCCTGAGGGTTCCTGGATGTGATGGGGGAAGGGATGAGAGAAAGAGAAGGAAGACAGAGGAAGGCCAATGCACTAGCCCCCTCTGTAGACCAAGAGGATTCTTTCTGCATAGTTCTATAGATTCTCTGTCCTGCTTTGAGCTCTACAGAGTAGACTCCACACAGGCTGAAGCATGAATGCCAGTGTCGGGTATCCTGCTGTTGACATTGGACTTGCTTGTAAAGGCCACTCCTCTGGGCACTCTAAGTGTATTTTCCAGAGACCCTGAGGTGTCTGGCTAAAGGAGAACACGTAGGCATCATGGGCCAGCTGAGATGGCAGCATCTTCTGTTCCCAAAGTCCAGGGGATCCCAAATGTCCCACAGGTCAACCTTCCAGACTGTGTACGTCTGAGCCCAGCCTCCAGCCAAGGAGGAATCCAGGGTAAAGTTGGGTTTGACTTCAAGAAGGGCTAGCTCAGGGAGCTCCCAGGCCTCAGGAAGGGCTGCACGGAAGGAAGAGGGAACTGTAGCCTGTAAGGGACAAACAAGCTAGACATTACTTCCTCTAATTCATCTTTATCAGAGTTGCTGGAGGGGTTGTAGATAACCAGGCTCAATGGAACTGAGTGTCAGGCTCATCTGTGAGTCTGCTGCGCATACAGGTCTCCAACTTCTCCCAGGGACATGACCTGAACCCTAGTTAAGTGTGGCCATTTGAGTCTTCCTAAAACGAAATAAAATGGGAAAATACAGTCCTTAAATTCCAAGTACTCAGTCGCGGCACAAGTCAGTGGCTGTGCTGTGGGACAGAGCAGCCCAGAAAGTCACAGCATTCACCCACTGCCCACGGAATGAACGTCAATCTCCCGGATCTGGAAGATGGGGAAGCCTGAGGTCATCACGCCTGATTCAGAGCACACCCTACTGGACATGAAGGGAATGACAACACGGGTCCTAGAGAGTTGTGGAATTAGCCACCTACGTAGGTGGACCAAACTCTTCAGAAATGCTGTGAGATTCTAAGGTGACAACAAGAACAAGGGTCCAAATGCCTGGAAGATAGCTGAGGGACTCTGGAGCGGGGTGCGGGGGCTGTAGGGACAGGAGGCACCTGTAACCAGAATCTGGGAACTGTAAGAACATGAGGGAGTGTGGACATCAAGAGACCAGTTAATAGGTGCTGGAGGCTTCAGCAAAAGCCCAGGGCGGACGGCCTCGGGTTTAGCTTGATCCATATGCTCAGATAATGCCATCATTTGCAGGCCTCTCCCTCTCAGGGACGACAACAAGTCTCAGTAACGATGGCCTTGGACGAAGTGAGGGCAAGTGCACCTCGTTTCCCCAAAGGCACCAGCTTAGGGCTGAGGACTGAATTGATATCAACATGCAGTTACCAGACTGAAGGGTTGCTGGTCATCATGGGGAGCATGGAGGAGACATGAAGGAGAGTCTCCTACAGTCTTCCCACCCTCTGGCCAGGTCGCTCTTATTCCTTGGGGATGGGCGTTGGTTGCACGTTTGGCCAGGCCCTCACTCCAGGTTAATAGCTTCAGCAGTCTTCACAAGCTGAGCAAGCATCCTCATATACTCCTTGTCCCAGCTGGGCCCCAAGCCCCTCCTCCAGGGTGAGCCCTGCTCACTCTCTTCCTGCTGCTGCTGTTGATCCTCGCCAACCCCACTTGGCACAGCCATCACTTGACTCCTGTGATGCCAGCTCTGTGCATCTCCAGCAGGGCCTCGGGATCCTTGTGGTTCCCAGGCACCTTTTGTAACAGACGATTCTTACCTAGAATACTGCTGTGGCCACTTTCTGGACAGTCTTTGAAATTGTTTTATAAGTGCCACCTGCTGAGGTGATTAAGTCGGGGCAGGACTTGGAGACTCAGCTCAGCCCAGCCTCCATCTCCCCTAGAATCAGTTTTTAAGGCCACCCCTTGTCCCAGCAAGAGCCTGGATGTGGGCACAGTATATTAGAGGTCCTTGTATGGATGTTGCAGGGTGGGGTTTGGGTGACTGAAGGTCAGCACCATTCTACCTGAGGAAGCATGACATTAAATACCAAGTTGG